AAAAATATATTTCCTTGGAATTATCTTGTCTGCTTAGTATATTTTTTTTTCTTTGTAGCATCATCATGATTGCATGGTAATTTTTGGGTACTGATTATATGATCCAGCCTAAGTTGATATTTACTTGGAAGTTCAACTGATAGAATCTTTTTTTATATATATCTTTGTTGTGTGTAGCCAGGAATTATCTTATCTGCTTAAATAGAATTTGTTTCTTTGTGGTGTCATCATGGGTATTGATTTTATGATTCATGCTAAGTTGCATCAAGGAATTTAATCTGTTGGGTAATTTACATTTCAAGTACTTTGACCAAGGCTTATGTTGCCTTCCACCTTGTTACATTTTCTGATCAATCTTTCTAATGCTTTTTTGTTGGTTTCGCCATGCTTAGTTCCTGCCTTCAGTCAAGCTGCTACGGGAAGGATTTCTAAACATCTAATTTCTGGGCCATCATGCATATCTCCACTTGGTATTATGTTCAGATTCTTTCCTTTATGGTTGCTCTTCCTTGGCAGATGACCTTCTTCTTGGCTTTAGATATGGAGATGGAATATGTGGTAGAGTCATCCAGGCAATCTTTTGGGGGCATGTCTCGTTATGCAGTCAAAATTTTGCTTCTGGATGGTCAGTCTAAACTTCAAACATGGTTTCTTATACTGCAAGTACATGGCATTGGACTTCTTTGGGCATGCTGACAATGTCGATACCAGCTGAACATTACTATGACTCGAGCTCAAGTGACACCGCAGGATGCTCTCTCTCTCTCTCTCTCTCTATGTCATCGTCGAGTCTATTGTTGTTGTTCATTGGCATGAACTCGCTGACCTTTATTTCATGATTTATTGCTTATACAACCTAATCGTAGCACATCATGCATACTCTTACATCTCTACGATGGAATTATTATATCAATACAACATAATGAAGCTCATAGATGTATACGTGAAGACGTATCCTTAGAGCGACATGATAGGCGGAATGCTTTGTTCATTCCTGAAGAAGTTGTGTGGGTCAACCTTGCTCTTCACGTTCGCCAACCTCTTGAAGTTGTTGTTGAAGTACTTGGGACCCCAAACCCTGTAAGTTCTTCCCAGGTCGATATCCTTGTAGTTGAGATAGGCTGCCCTCGGGTTCTTAGAGACGTACGGAGTCATCAAGGCATACAGCTTCCTCATCCAATTCAGATGCCTCTCCGTTGTCTCCATGTCCGTCTCAAACCACCTCATGAAGTACTGGATGATGTACAGATACCCTTTCCTGTATGGGAAGGGAGTCGCCGACTCTGCTATCTCATCCAGAACCCCACCGAAGGGCTCCATGATCAGTACCAAGGGTTCATCCTTCGCTTCCATCAGAAACCTCCATATCTCTTCCCATGCTGTCTCTGTCACAGGTTCTCTCACGAAGTCCGACTTCGCCTTGAAGGAGCTGTTGAACTCCGGCCTCCTATCCAACAAGATCTCGCTCGGTCTGCCGGAGTAGCCTGCGAAAAACAGAACGGACTCCAACCAACTCATCTCGTTGCAGTCTGCCGCCTCGAACCCCAACTCGGGGAAGCTGCTCCCCATCACGGTGAGGAGCTCTTTGCACGTTCCCAAGTAGAGGGAGTTGAACACGGCTTGGATGGTCCGGTTCCCCTCTGCTTCGTCGTCGTCCATGGCTTGCGCGATGACCCGTATGTACAGGTTCTCGTCGAGGTTGGGGCCGATCTGCTGCCACTTGGTGACCAGCTTTGTGGCGTCTTGCTTTAAGGTCTTGATCACGTTGAATGCGGTGACGACGGGCGGAACGTAGTTCAACTCGATCTTGTATGAGAGGACGATGCCGAAGCTTGCTGCGCCGCCGCCTCTGATGGCCCAGAAGTAGTCCTCGCCCATGGATTTCCGGGTCAGAATCCTTCCGTTGACGTCCACCAACCGGGCATCCACGATGTTGTCAGCCGCGGTGCCGTACTTCCTCGACAGGGTGCCTATCCCGCCGCCGCTGAAGTGGCCGCCGACACCGACCGTTGGGCAGATACCGGCCGAGAACCCGACGGTCCTGTTCTTCTCCGCGATGGTGTAGTAGACCTCTCCGAGCGTTGCACCCGCCTGAACCCAGGCCGTGCCGTGCTCGGCATCGACCGTGATGGACCGGAGAGCAGCGAGGTCGACGATAATGAACCGATCGCCTTCCGACACGTACGACATGCCCTCGTAGTCGTGGCCGCCGCTTCGGACCCGGACGCGGAGGCCGTGCTTCCTGCTACAGACGACGGCGGCCTGGACGTGCGACTCGTTGGTCGCGGTCACGATGAGGACGGGCTTCGTCGTGCTCGACGAGTAGAGGAAGCGGATGTTTTGGATGGATGATCGGAGGACGGCATCGTAGGTGGTGGTGTTAGGCGAGTACACGAGTTGGGAGGACGAGTTAGAGGGACGAGTGTGGTCAAGGAAGCACTGGATGAAGCTTTCATGCGTGGCGTCGAGAGAGCTGATGGCGGAGTTGGCTGTGAGAAGAAGAGAAAGAACTGCAAGGCTTAATGAGGCCGGTAACGCCATTGTTGTTTGAGCTCAGTCTTCTTCCTCTATTGCTGATGAGATCTCTCCATGGATGGTTGGTTTATATAGGAGAAAGACATGTGAGGTTTTGGACGTGCAGAAGAAGTGTGAAAGATGTATTTGGATTCGGCGTTTACTTTTCTCAATGTTTGACTTTATCTACACAGCTTGCATGTAGAATGTAGATCGACAAATGGATGACATATATTGAAAACCCCAATCAAAATATCATTTACAAATACTTGTTAAAAATATACGTGGAGACCATTAGCTTCGAGATAAACTATATAAATATAAATATAATATATAAAATGATCAAGGATATTGGATTTTATTCACGCTTCCATGGATAGTTTATGCAACGTTTGCTGATCACTAATTAATCTTCTTTCGATGCATGTCCTTGTTAGATTGCACGAGTTTATGATCGTATCAATGATATAACTTAGGCTAAAAGCTACATCCATAATATCATAAAAATAAGATAACATTAATTTTATATATTTGATGCCTACAAATCCATAATCACCGAGTACTGTCAATAGAATGAATAATAACAAGGTCTTATTTATGTACACGTGCATGGTTGCAAGGAGATCACGTAAACCTGCTTGATTGCAAGGCAAATCATTGAGAAGTCAATTTACTTACGTGAAGTCTCATCACATAATGACAACAAAGACAAATGCTTCATTTCCTTTTTGTCACCTTTTATGCTGCAACTTCTCGGTCATAGAACTCCTCATTCCGACCAAACAGGTTTATCCGAATCCACATCAGACTTTTCGTGGATTCACATCATCATAAAACATAAGCATTTCTGGTCATAAACTTGCATAAGAAGTTTTAAAGAACGCATTAAATTGATGCCATTGTCTGCATAATTTTATTTGCATAAGCATATCAAAAAAGAAAATCCTATATGTTTTCTTGGGCAGCTGATATTTTCCTTGGAAGTCATTGTCTGCATGCTCAGCATTGAAGATTTGGAAATATTTTGGATGTTTCTTGAACTCAACATCACAAGTCTGCTGTGGCATATCTTTGAAAGATTGAATCCAGCTTGCGTATTATCCACACAAGCAATATTAATAATGCCTGTTGAATCTCGTATGAGCTGTGACATCTTTGAAGCCACCCGTAAATAACTTGTATATCATGTCCATACCATTCGACTTCTTTCCTGCTCCGAATGCAGGATGAGCAATCATGCGTAATAATTGAAGTGCATAAGATTGCTAAATTGAGGTGTTGAAACTTGGAAGGTTTTCTGCATGTTGCTCGAGTGGATGGGATTGGACATCGTTGAATGGTTTGTGCCATGTAGCAGAGACTCCCGTTTTAGAGTCAACACACGTCTCTCTTTCACATATCAGAAGCTACCGCTGAACAGTCTTTGTATTTTACCAAAGGAAGATTGAAATGATGACTGACTTGTTATGATATATATGGATGACATGATACGTTCTTATCCTACACATGGACTTTTCTTATGGTCTGCATGAATCGTGGACTATGGTAATGGTTGTCCATCTCAGCTTTTCCTTCGAGAACACGATATTACTACTGCATGGGCATGAAGTTTGCTTTCAAGAACACGTGTGATTGACCATCAATCCACCAATATATATATATATATACACACACACATAGTTTATGCAGTTTGGAGAAACAGTTCTTTGGAGGTTTCACATCAGTTCTTGTGTGTTATTTCGTGATAAATTCCAAAAGATTGAGCCATTAGCTCAGATATGAGGAACGGTGGGAGATTATTCTCATATATGTTGGAACTGTATAGAATTCCACATGAAATTATTTGGCATGACAGGTCTCACTCACATCCTTTTCAAAAACCTTCGTCTCCAAGACCCATCATAATCTTCTCCAACGGGCAACTAGTTCTCAGCCGCCACCAATCATCCTCTTCTCCTTCATGTGTCCACGGCACTACGACGCAGAAGTTTCCACCCCAGCTTCTTTGCTCATGGTTTGAGAATTGCGAAAGGAAGACATGCCTTAAAAGTCTACAACAAATTGAATGTGTGTGTGTGTGAGAGAGAGATGGAATGTAGTCGGGAAGAGAGCTTGAGAGATGGAAAGGAAGCTTAGATTTCATCGAGGACGAAGAATGAGATGATATCTCCACTTGTTGTTATGTTCAGATTCTCTCCTTTATGGTTGATCATCCATGGCAGACGGGCTTTTACTTGTCTTTAGATATGGAGATGGAATATGTAGGAGAAGCATCCGGGCATTTTTTTGGGGCATGTCTAGTTCTGTAGTCAAAATTTTGCTTCTGGATGGTCAGCCTTAACTTCAAATATGGTTTCTTAAATACTGAGTACATGGCTTTGGGCATGCTGATGTGTAATGGCTCTTTTCTCTTGTGTGGGCCACAATTGATTTGCTGCTTGCATGTACCCCACCATTTCACTATGATAAGGTTGAATCCATTTGCTTTACATGTAATTGCTATTGCTGCCAACAAGGCATAAATTTTCTGTTGTTGCCAATGTAGATACCTGCTGAACATTACTATGACTTGAGATAATGTGACACCTCAGGATTCTCTCTCTCTCTCTCTCTCTCTCTCCCTCCCTCTCGTCAAAGGTTTTCGGCGACTTGATAGGCGGAATGCTTTGTTCATTCCGAAAGAAGTTGTGTGGGTCAACCTTACTCTTCACGTACGCCAACCTGTTGAAGTTGTTCTTGAAGTACTTGGGACCCCAAACATTAGCGGTTCTTCCCAGGTCGATATCCTTGTAGTTGAGATAGGCTGCCCTCGGGTTCTTAGAGACGTACGGAGTCATCAAGGCATACAGCTTCCTCATCCAACTCAGGTGCCTCTCCGTTGTCTCCATGTCCGTCTCAAGCCACCACATGTAGTACTGGATGATGTACAGATTCCCTTTCCTGTATGGGAAGGGAGTCGCCGACTCTGCTATCTCGTTCAGAACCCCACCGAAGGGCTCCATGAACAGTAACACGGGTTCATCCTTCGCTTCCATCAGAAACCTCCATATCTCTTCCAATGTTGTCTCTGTCACAGGTTCTCTCACGAAGTCCGATTTCGCCTTGAAGGAGAAGTCGAATTCCAGCTTCCTATCCAACAAGACCTCGGTCGGTCTGCCGGAGTAGTTTGCGAAGAACAGAACGGACTCCAACCAACTCATCTCGTTGCAGTCTGCCGCCTCGAACCCCAACTCGGGGAAGCTGCTCCCCATCACGGTGAGGAGCTCTTTGCACGTTCCCAAGTAGAGGGAGTTGAACACGGCTTGGATGGTCCTGTTCCCCTCTGCTTCGTCGTCGTCTATCGCTAGCGAGATGACCCGTATGTACAGGTTCTCGTCGAGGTTGGGGCCGATCTGTTGCCACTTGGTGACCAGCTTTGTGGCGTCTTGCTTTAAGGTCTTGATCACGTTGAATGCGGTGACGATGGGCGGAACGTAGTTCAACTCGATCTTGTATGAGAGGACGATGCCGAAGCTTGCTGCGCCGCCGCCTCTGATGGCCCAGAAGTAGTCCTCGCCCATGGATTCCCGGTCCAGAATCCTTCCGTTGACGTCCACCAACCGGGCATCCACGATGTTGTCAGCAGCAGTGCCGTACTTCCTCGACAAGGTCCCTATCCCGCCGCCGCTGAAGTGGCCTCCGACGCCGACAGTGGGGCAGGTACCGGCCGAGAACCCGACGGTCCTGTTCTTCTCCGCGATGGTGTAGTAGACCTCTCCGAGCGTTGCACCCGCCTGAACCCAGGCCGTGCCGTGCTCGGCATCGACCGTGATGGACCGGAGAGCAGCGAGGTCGACGATGATGAAACGATCACCTTCCGACACGTACGACATGCCCTCGTAGTCGTGACCGCCACTTCGGACCCGGACGCGGAGGCCGTGCTTCCTGCAACAGACGACGGCGGCCTGGACGTGCGACTCGTTGGTCGGGGACACGATGAGGACAGGCTTCGTCGTGCTCGATGAGTTGAGGAAGCGGATGTTTCGGATGGATGATCGGAAGACGGCATCGTAGGCGGTGGTGTTGGGCATGTACAGGAGTTGGGCGGATGAGTTAGAGGGACGAGTGTGGTCAAGGAAGCACCGGATGAAGCTTTCATGCGTGGCGTTGGGAGAGTCGATGGTGGAGTTGGCTGGAAGAAGAATAGAAAGAATTGCAAGGCTTAATGAGGTTGGTAACGCCATTGTTGTTCGAGCTCAGTCTTCCTCCTCTACTGCTGATAAGATCTCGCCATGGATGGTTGGTTTATATTGGAGAAAGATATGTGAGGTTTTGGACGTATAGAAGAAGTGAGAAAGATGAATTTGGATTGGGTGTTTACTTTTCCCAATGTTGGACTTTGCAATGTAGATCGACAAATGGATGACATCTATTGGTAACATCTTACTTTCTATAATAATAATAATAATAATATTTATATCCATTTATAAAGAAAAAAAATCTAAAATTATTATAAAAAAAATTCTAGATGCTTTCTTGGGCAGGTAATATTCGTCGGAAGTCATTGGCTGCATTAAAGATTTGGAATTATTTTGGATGTTTCTTGAACTCAATATCACAAGTCTGCTGTGGCATGACAGGTCTCACTCACTCAAGTCACTCACAGGGCTCTTCTGCTTCGTGTCCACGGCACTGGCACGCACAAGTTTATTCTCAGATATGAGGAATGGTGGGAGATTATTCTCATGTATGTTGGAACCTCATAGAATTCCACATGAAACTAAAATCTTCGGAGGGAAGCAAGACGATGCGAGGGTAGGAAATCGAAAGAAATGGTTTTAGGAAGGGGATTATTAGTCTTTGTTGCGAAGCTTATCGATACATAATCGAATTCTACTAAGATAAATGTCGTGTCTATTATTATTGTTTGACATGACAGGTCTCACTCACATCCTTTTCGAAAGCCACTACTGTATCATCATAATCTCCTCCAATGGGCAAGTAGTTCTCAGCTGATGAGTCGTCAAATCATCCTCTTCTCCTTCGTGTCCACGGCACTACCACGCAGAAGTTTCCACCGCAGTTTCTTTGCTCATGGTTCGAGAATAGCGTAAGGAAGACAGACATGCCTTAAAAGTCTACAACAAATTGAATGTGTGTGTGTGAGAGAGAGAGAGAGATGGAATGGTTATAATGAAAATGGTTATACTGAAAGGGAACTGTGTACGACGAGACGAAAAAGAGGATTCCTTTCCAAAATTAGGAACGATCGCGATGGGACTCGAACCCACAATCTCCCGCTCCGGAGGCGAGCGCCTTATCCATTAGGCCACGCGATCATTGTTGTTAATCTGACTCAAACAATTAATATAAATGTAAAATATCTATGTTTCTCATTTTAAATGCAATTAATATCTATGTTTCTCATTTTAAATGCAATTAATATCTATGTTTCTCATTTTAAATGCAATTAATATAATGGATTCAGAAGCACTATTCTTTGGCCGATTTAATTCATACTAACGTCTTTATTCAATTTCTAACACTTCGAATGCCCATAGATATTTGTGTCAACCAATTTGACCCTAAGAGCGTCTCTTGATAAGAGAAACGTGCTTGTCAAGACGAATTAAATTTAAGTTGTTTTGTTATTAGTCTTTTAGCACAAGCATGAATCTATTTAAATGCATCGTGTTCCAAAGCAAAAAAAGTTTTAAATCTTTACGGAATAATCATCAATAATAAAACAAAAGTTTAGATCAGATTTCATCAATAAAGATGTCTAATAACAAACCCATAATTTACACCAACCATCTTGTAAATTGATTATGGTGACAATAGTAATACAGCAAAAAAGTCTTAAAAGGTCATACTTCAAATCAATCATCCACGGTTTCTCCTCTGATGAAATCCTCTATTTTCTTCATCAGTCTATTGCACTCCATGACAATTGTTTTTCTCTTCTTATGTGTTTCAAATATCAAATATTAAATAAATTTAAGATGAATCGACTAATTAGACAAATATGAAAACGAAGATGCATATACGTGTCTTGCACAGAAAATTTATTTAGAATAAATTTCTTGTAAGGCTAATGCATGTAAAGTATTGAGATTCACATAGTTAAGATACAACTGGAACTTGGTCATATATGACAATGATACTTGTGACGGATACACATGAAACCATATCCAGTTTCAATCTTATACGACAGATTTCCACAGTTTCAGCCTTAGGCTTGTGGAAGATAACTAGCTTAATACACAAAGATTCAAGTACTGAAAACCTATTGTTGAATCTCATGTATGAGATGACTTTAAGATGCATCTATTGCAACGAAACAACACCATTATCAGCAAACCTCAAGACTCAGTCTCCTTGGGAAATAACTAATATTCGAGGGAGTTAATCAGCAGCAAGTGTGATAATTGTGGCATCTGGTTGAGTTGCCCATTCTGTCCATGATCCATCGTAAACTGGAACATCAGGCTTTCCAATTCGATGAAGACCCTGGAGTAGCATCATGAGTTGTTAATTTTTTATATCATTTCATGATGACAGAATTGTTATCTTACCATGTTTACTATGCAAGCAGTCACACCGGTGCCACAGGAGGCAACAATTGGACGATCGAGAGAGATGCCTGCAGCAAAAATAGTGTTCATATAGGGGAAAAAAAGAAAAAGTGCATTCTAAAGATTACATCAAAAGCTGCAGTAACTTTTGTAGACCATGCTTGATTAATTAAACTTCAGTTGCAAGGTGCCACCAAGCACCAGTATCTCAGAGAAGTCAATTACAGTTCTTGAAACTAATTATCAGCTTACAGCAAATTAATGAACTTTTCACAAATTCTTATGACCTAGCCAATGAAGACTGACTTCGAAGTCTTTACAAATGGCAGTCTTTGAATTTATTGTCAATATCAAAGAGTGAAATATATTCAACACAGATCAACATGACTACAGCGTAGCATGTTCGGGCTTGCGAGCCAATATCGTAAATTGCCCCAGCTCACTAAATCATGCCTCATAAGATAGAGATTGTTTAATATAGAGAAATAATTTCCCCTCTGATATGGAGTCTGGACCAATTAACAAATTCCAATGCCAGGAAAAATATGATACTAAGAACTATGCTTTTTCAAAGCATATATATAATTCTTAAGGAATTCACAATATTTCAATAAGAACCTTGAAATGCCTTCTATTTTATATCAGATCAGTCTTCAGAATGAGTTTAACAAAGACTTTGACCTTGTCACATTACAAATAAACTAAAAGAACTCATTAACTAAATAAAATATACATCTTTCCAAATATCTTGGGGAAAAGGTATCCCACCAGAGATCTTTTCAAACACAAACTTGTTTTTCGTAGCACATCAGGAACATGAAGAGACTCTCATGGAGGGTAACATACTCTAATTTAGCTAAAAAGTTATATTTAGGTTCATTTATATAAACAAAAAAAGAGAAGCATGATAAAATAAATTAAATAAGGTTAGAGAACATTCACTTGCTATGGTGCACCAACAGATGCATCTGAACATTTTTACAAGGAGGAGGCTCTCACCTTCTAGCACAAATTTTTCACGAAGTTGATCTTCAGGCAAAAGCATTTGTGAACCATCAAGCATCTGCTTTAAAAGAGATTAGTAAACTGAAAAACCACATTCACATTACAATAATACATATGTAGGGTGCAGCATTATATATGTTATTGCTAAGAATGTAGTGAGCATAAATACAAAGCTAACTTCTACATGAATCGAGATTGCTAGTAAAAAATGAAATTCTTTTGTTATACAATGCACCAAGCACACACCTAATGTAACTTACTTTATGTTATAAAAAAATGCTCTCTTTAACCTTTGCTGCTTGTTTGTGAGACAGTATAGTGTTTTTCATCCTAGGTCTGGATGTCCCTCTTAGATATATACTTCATATCTTTTGTGATTCTGCACATACGCTTTCATATATATAGTCACATGTCAACTCAAATAAGTGTTATAAGTGTGAAATGTCTCGAATTATTTGACAAATGCATAATTGTGACTCAGAAACCATCTCCCTAGATAAGTGGTATTTTCTGATTTTTTCCACATTTTACAAGTACAATTTTTTCTGAACTTTCTTTTTGCATGCACTAATTCTTAGCAAAAACATCACGTATTTAGTCACCTCAGTGACTAAATACATTAATATGTGGAAGGTCAACACATTTGAATTCATCCTGTCCTCCCAAAAAAGCTGTAACAGAATTCTGCCTAATGAACAAAAGATTGTTTAGCGCTCGGACATTAAAACAAGTGAGACATCTCATCAGAAGATTTGGTAGCAATTTTTTCACCTCAGTAAAGGGAACACATTTGCTGCCAGGCATATGTCCACTTTTTATTCCCTCTCGAGGTTCTGGAGCTATGCCATCAAACCTGCATATGAGGATGAACTTTTTAAAATGAAAGTTCTTTATCCTGAGTACATTGAACACTTTAGGAACAACCTTCTGAATGATAATATCAATGACTGAAAACACTAGTCAAGAAAATAATGACATTTTATTATTCTAGAACTTAAGAAACTCAAAAAGTCAATGATTTGGGAACTGGATGAAAATCCACTGCAAGTCACATGTTCTGCTGCATATTATCATAAAAATGACCCTTGATCCACATGTTCTGCTGAGATACAAGACTTACAACACACGTTTGGGTGCTACATAACATAAATCTCATTGGAATTGCGAAACCTGTGGCTGCAATAATTACAAGAGAATGGATACTAACTCTATTAACATTGAAATCTGCTTCCAGCAAATATAACAGCACCACACACCAAGGATCACCGTTTCAGGTGATGGATCCGTTTTGGTGATCTATTAGACAGTACATACTGGTCAGTACCAATGTGCTGACATATAGTATACCGGTGTGCACCAGTGTTTCGGAGAGGAAGAAAACGGGGGAGAAGAGGAATGGATGGAGAAGAAAGAAGGAAGAAGAGGAAGCAGTGGTGGAAGAAGAAGAGGTAGAGAAGGAAGAGGAGGAGAAGAGGTGGGAGCGTACATAGGAAGAAGGAATACGGCAGCAACAGCATTGGCAGCGGTGAAGCAGTTGCAAAGCAGCAGCAACGGCGAAGAGTGTGAGAAGAGGGTCTAATTTATATTCTAAGTTTTTTTCTTATTCTAATGAAGAGGGCCCCACTGCCTTTTTTTTATTTTTTTATTACTTTTACTGAACTATACTGGCCCACGCCTGGACAAGTACATACCGCTCATTTTGTAATGTTTCAGGCGGTACAACAATCGTTGCCACACAATATATACATCTTAGGACTTAAACCTGTTAAAAATACTGAATGAGCACAATGTCAACATATTGGTAATAGAAAACACCAACTCAGATTAATGAAACTAGTGTAATAAGGTAATTAAGAACAAATATATAACATGTAAGCCAAATAATCAATTCCACAGATGAGAAAAATATTACCTGGACCTTGATCGAGCGTCTATATGTTGATGTGTTTGGTCACTCATATTTTGTTTGATCTGAAACATAAATAATCTTGCTGATGAAATTCTTGTTTGGTTATAAACATGAAGTACAGAAAAATTCTATCATAAACAAATATATCATAATGGAATCATACAAAATCTGCATAGTGTCTTTATATGTAAAAATATTTTACATTGTAGCAAACAGTCCATAATGTCTCTTGTGTACGAGGAGCAAATATCACTAGTAATGCATACCATGTATAAAGCCACTAAATAAACAATCTGGACTCCACACTACTGAATGAACATAACATCATTCTATATGATACAAAACTAATTTGATTCCCATCATTGTATATGATACAAAACTACAAACTTGTGGAATCATCTTTAGTTGAATGCTCAGACCTCAAAGTGGTATACAGGCTAAATGTACTAAATTTAGATGAAATTATTGAATAAATTTGATCTTAGTTCCTAATGATACATTGCAATGTCAGATGGTCATGTCCATTAACATAAAAAACACAAAATTGGGCCCAAGAAGACCAATGTGCAAACTGACTTATTAACCCAAACTGAAACCGCATGTCTATTGACAAATCAGTCTCTGAAATGCTGCAACATTAAAGACAACTCTGAGATGATAAGAAACATTAATCAAGTTGATGATCAAAGATATCTTTGTTTACAGTAAGTTGGGGTAAAAAAAAAAGTGAAAAAAAAAGTTGGGGTGAGCAAGAAAGTAATAGGACAAAATGAAAGCAAATATTGATGCTTGACATCTCAGTAATGAAAAGTGAGACTATAGACCACAAGCTTGAACAAAGGAATGAGAAAGCCAAATGCAGTGAAAATTGAGACATGCCAATATAGCAAAAAAGTCTCTTCATTTTTAAGTTTTATTGAAATATTTGTTATAATATTAATGTAAGAATTTTAAAAAATTCTCAGTCTTGGAATGACCTACAAACTCATATTTTAAGTCCCTGACCTAACTTTTATTTGCAAATGTTGGAGTTGAAATAAGGTCTGGAAGACCTGAAATAAGGTTTAGATATACTTTATTCTTATTTAATTTTAATTAATATATCAAGAAATTAAGAAAACAATCCTGAAATAGGGTTTTTTTCTCAATTTTGGCTATTTTCTAATCAAAATTTTGGTGTGTTGAATGTTGATACAAATCGGTGTACCGACACATGGTACACCGGTGCCAACTATTATGTATCAATCTGACAAACCTTGTAAAAAATGATACTGTTTTGAATGATTGGAGTAAATTAAGGGCAAAGTCTAAATTGTACTTGATAGATATTTACATTTAGAGACAAAGGAAAAGAATGTTGGAAATGCAACTTTAGAACAATAGTAAGAAGAAAGCATGTATATATATATATATATATATATATATATATATATATATATATATATATATATATATATATATATATATATATAT